CCTAGAGCATGTAGACAGAAAGCATTACATTAATGTTCATTTAATCATCATTATCTTTTGATAAATTACTTGTGTGTGAAAAAGTTTCAAATGTTGTAGTGTAATTAAGTTAAATAGGTATGCCTGTTTTAAAAAAACACTGTTGCTGTGTACTTCTAGTTTTAAAGGTCTCAGAAGTTTTTTTTCACTTTTTATATCTCCAATAAATGAAATGTTCCTATATATCTCCTAAAAATGTTCCAGATTATTTTTTTTAAAGAATTTAAGTGAGATACTACAAAATACATCTATTGCAGTTTGATTATGAATGAAGTGTTTTTCATTCCTTAGTTCTTTGAACAGAGTATAAACTCTGATGCTCACTTAAGTATCAAAATCACAGTCTAGGTCTGTAGCCAAACTCTTATTTAATCTCTTCTGGATAATTCCCATGAAGGCTGTTACTATTTTGGAATGATAACTAAGGTCAGATTTTTGACTATGTAGAATATGTTTTATGGGTGAGAAAGACCTCTGGTCATAAATAAATCTAATTATGTGTGCTGGTGGCTTACATATAAAGAATATATTTGGATAAACTTAAACCAAGTGCAGTTTAAAAACTAAGTGGTTTTTCTTTCTTTTTAAAGTAAATTTGGCACAGAATCAATGAAATGGTAAATGTGGAATCTATAATGTCAGATTTTCTATAACATTTTAGTGTGGAATTAACTTCTTCAGAATGGTAGAAAATACCGTAAATTCTTTTCTATTGTATTTTTACTATTCATATATTCTCTTCTTTTAGAAAATGATGTGGCTGAACGCCGAAGTGTGATAAAAGAAGTAATACTAGAGGCAGAAGCCTTTGGTGATATTGAGACTCAGGCTGAAATGATGATGCAAGCTGCTATTCTTGACCTGCAAGAAAAACATCCCGTGGCAGGCATTAAACTTCTTTTTCAGGTTTGAGCACAAAGGAGAAACTGTTCACTTTTCTTTGATGCATTTTTCATGTAGTCAGAACAGCTGAAGCTAGCATTAAATAAGTTGACATAGTGCTGCTAAAATAGATATTTTTTTTTTTTCACTTTGTGTGATTTATCCTCATAAATAGACAGCAAAAGCAGTAACTACTTTGGTTTATGTTTTCTATGTCCAAACAGAATATCATCAGTTTACTCCAAGAGGATACATTTATTTCCCCTGCAGCTTCTTTGACTCTTGTGAAAAGTATGCTTCTGCTGGCAGACATACTAACACTGCAAACAGCAGAGGATACAGAACATTGCTCTTCTACAGTGGAACCATTAAACTTACTAATTTTGGCACATGACCTTACCATTAAAGCAGTGAGTACATGTTGGTGATTTAGACAGCATTTGCAAATCCTTCTAACAATCTTAATTATCTATTCTGGAAGCTATTTTAACAATTTATTAAAAAGGGCTATTCCTATTAACTGATCACTTCAATTTTTCCCTAGATTACATAGTGTAAAGAAGTAATTAATCTTACCAAACTTATTTATGCATACTCATCATGCATACTCATGTATGTAGTGTGGTATTTTCATACAATTTAAAAATTGTGAATACTTGCAAAATGTACATATGTGAAAACTGAAATAGGTAGTTTGACTTTTAAAGAGATGCAGAACACTCACTTTTCTCATTTGAACTGAGAGATATGTTTGTACTCAGCACCTCGGGGAGGATGTACATCTCATTAAATTTCTAACTAACTCTTGAGCACCCAAGTTTAAGAATTTAGCTTTTTATCTTAAGTTAGAATATTTTGAATTAGAAAATCTACATAAAGTAGCATATTGCTTATGATGTTTCAGATTGACAGATTGTTAAAATCAGTATCAAGAAATCATTTCCAGGTAAAAATTTAAATAGGCAATTAAAAAAAATAAATCTAAAGACATGAAACCTGTGAGACTAATGTATAGTAATAAACCATTTACCTATTTGGTGATCCAAAAATAGATATGCATTTCTGCAGTCTCTACCTGTTCTTGGTACAGTTTATAAAGAAAAGCTTTTGGATCAAATTACTCCCTCATATTTCCTAATACAGAAGTTTAATCAATTGAAATATTTGTTCTCCCAAGTAATAAAGAATCATATGAATCACTTCAGACTCAGACTTCTGCTTGTGAGAATTGCTAGCCTTCAAGAAACTTAACTGTTTACATCATGTCCCCATCACCTTTTTTCCATGAATGAAAAGTTTAACTGGTCCATACATGTTATTTTCTTTTTCTTTTCTGGCCTTTGTTGGATGTCAGATTTCTTTGTAGAAATTACAGTTTCTTTCTAGGGCTTGTGGTACTTGGGAGATCTATTTCTTAAAGACTGATTTGAGGAATTTTGCTTTTAGAAACCAAAGCCTAACATTAATAAATTTGATCAAGAGTTCATTGAAATTGTACATTTGCTACCAAACTCCTCTGCAAAGAAGACAATCACAAACTGAAGTAAAGGAGTTTGGGAGTATCAAGCCCTTTTCTAGTCCTCTTTTACAAGACACATTTGAGTTCCAGGGTTTTGCAATACCTAACTTACTTTTTCAACCTACTATTTAATTTGCTGTCTGCAAGTTGATTTTACAAAGCATATTCTTTTAATAGATTTTTGTTTGTGGAGAACCCATTGAACGGCAAATAGAAGACAGTACATTGACTTGCCTGGTCCTACCTACAAAAAATATCTACTTGCCACATATCAACTTGCTAGCCCAAGTCAAAATGAGAATCGGTAAGAAAAATCCAAACCATTATTATTTTTCATTTTTCATTCATTTTCATTTGTATTTTATGCAACAGCAGATAAACCAATGCATCAGAAGCAAATGTAGTAAATCAATTTTTTTCATATACAAATAAAATATTTTGAAAACCAACAATAGATGCCTGTTTGGCTCCATGTAATGTGTATAAGCAAGGTACAATTCTTATGGGAACTATAATCAACAAAGGCTTAAATATTAATGTTATAGCTTGATGAAACTAATGGGAACTTCAATTTTTTAAATAGCAGTTAACAATACTTTTTTTCCAGCTTCTGTACAAAGCATTCATTCTGTGAAAACTTCCTGTATATGTTCCATCTCTCTGGAAGTAGTTATATAGGAACTAACTAATGATATCAAATCATATGGGATAATAGTGATAATTCTCTATTCCAATAAAATAAATAGTGTCATTGTTGTCACCCTTTAATTTAACAACTTTTCTTGATAAATTTTCTTTATATAGAAACTTGGAAATATGTGGAATAGTAACAGAAGATGACCTTTAAGATCTGTCTGAGAGAGATCTGTTGCTGTATAGGAAACG